TAAGAGGAAGAGGAGACAGAGAGGATTCCTGTCAGTACCGATATTGATGGAAGGCTGTTTGTCTTTCACGAGACACGTGCACGGCGTCGCGCTAATGTCACGGAGGATCCTCGTTGCCGCGCTAAATCGCTTGAAATACCGTCAAAACGCGAGCTTCAGCACAAGTTATGTTATCGGATCATCCTTTTCTAATTTCGACGCGGCTGACTTCGCGCGCGCGCGCGCAATCGATTTCTGTCGTCCGCGACGTAACGCGCCGAACAGACCACAAAGGCGTCTTGTTCGCGGAGATATTCGCACAGGACCTTTTCCGCTTTTAAACCGCCACATGTCTTCTCCCGCCAAGTTGATGCGTTAAAAAAACCATCGTCGCAAATAAATCCCGATCCCAGGTATGGCGGCGCACCGTGGCAACGGACAAACGTCGATCGAGCGCAAAAAGCCACGAGAGGGGTGCTCGTGAGCGCGACGGCATTCCCGAGGAAAATGTCGCGGCCTTTCGCGCAAATCTCGGAATCCGTTACGCCGCGGCACCGTCGTCGTCGTCGTCGTCGTGAAATAAGACAAATTCGCCGGCTGATGAGAAGAGGTTTCCGTTCGCCGCTCCCCCGACTCGCGCTTTACGTTACTCCCATCCCTCCTCGCGTTCGCGCACTCCCGCTGCAGCGACTCCCCGGTCCCTGTTTCACGGCATCCAGTAGTCGTCCCGTATCGATTCTATAAACTCGTTCGCGTTCTACGCGAGAGAGCGATGAACATTCTCCGCTTCCCTCTCCCCGCGCTCTCCTCTCTTGCCCTGTTCGTCTCCTCGACGTCTCCTCCGTCTCCTCAGCCTCCTTCGTCCCTCGGCGATCCTCTTTATTCGTGCAGAAAACGATTCAGGTTGTCGTATCCACGACGTCGCGATGCGTTTATTTGCGCTTTTCGCACGGAGACCTACTTTATATCGCAGGAATCCGCGTAAGACACGTGGGTGACTCCTTGCCATTTGGCTTGTCGCAGGTGGGAAACCGTTTCAAAGCGTTCGCGCGACCGATTGACATGTAAAATGATGGATACGTATACACATATGTGATCATAAAATATATATTGTAATTAATTATACATCTGCCGTTTCGATCTCAAGCGACGCATGTTTTTCCCGATCTGACTGTCATTGCCGGTCCCGACTGACTCGTTGACTATTAAACACCGCCGACCGCGAGCCGACGGTATTAATATCGACAGTCTCTTATGCCGTTTTTGTCGAGTCCGCGACAAATATTCGCGTTCACCGTTCCCGTTAATGATAGATCCGTGAGAGGAGAGAGAAAGAGACAGCTAACGCGCGCGCATATACAATCTCCGCGAGACGTGCTTTAATTAACTGCATTAACCTCGTGATATTATTAGCGCGTGAAACTGACTGTGAAATGACGGGAAACTTTATTGATTATTAAATCTGCATTCCCGACACTCAGCGGTTAAAATCTCTCGGACCGCAAATCGCGCGATATCTTTTGTATCGACGTGTGCAACATGTCGAAGGAGACGCAACAAAAATTCCCGATTGCGCATTATTATATTTTGTAACTGACGGTGGAGCAATGTTTTTGCCGATGATAAATTAAAGAGGCACTCCTCGGACTCGCACGCGTGCGAGTTTTTAGACACGAGCAGAAGAAGAATGTAAAATTGCGAGCACGAATTGTGAGCGATTTACGCGCACATTGTCCCGTGATAAGAGTACCTCTCTCGTTTATCGGTACTGATTACGCGGTGACATCAAAAAGCCGAAGGTACTTTCGACGCGTGTAAACAGCGCGACTCGCGAAAATGAAGATGTGCTGTAGAGATAGCCGTGCGCGTTATCTCCGATACGAGACAATGCGAAACGATCGTGGTGCGCGCGCGTTGTCTTATCCTAGGAAATTGCGGATCGATCGAGTGCGAGCGTCGTTGTGTCACGAGAACGCCAATTTGTGGAATTGTGTTGCATTATCCGAAGACTCGTTCGCGATTCGCCAAGAATTGCGTGCAAAAGCGGCGACAGTTAGCGCGGTCCTCCCCAGAATCGCACAACGCGCGGTCCGCGGCAAAATCCTAATTATACCGCGGATTTGCGCGCGGCATGCCGCGCTAATTAATTCGTCGCGATGAACGATCATCGCCAGGCGCGCTCGCGGTTTAAAAAGTCGCGCCCGCGAAATTACGCCGGCTAATTGCGTATGACAAACGAGGCCGACGTCTCTCCGACGTGTGCGCCGCGGACGCCGTTCGTTCATTCGTTCGTTCGTTCGTTTGTTGACTTTCACTCGAGATAATCCGTGTGCACGAATCGGGCGCGATGAATCGCGACGAGACGGGACATAAATTCTCGCGCGATCGAAAAACGTGAAAAAACACAGCGCTGTCTCCGACCCGCACTGAGAAAAAGCCCTCAGTTATGAGGGACCTTTGGTAATTATCCGAGCAAAAGCACATTCGCTATTCGACGATACTTCGGGAAAACGGAATCGAACAGTTGCCATTGCGAATCATTTCTCATGACATGTCATTTCGTTCAAAGGTTGCGTTCAGCAGAGAAAGCTGCTTCGCGACTGTTGTAGAATTCGTGAATCCGATTGGTGCATGCTCTTAGATTCAGCTGAGATTATAAGAGCGCACACTAGTCAGATTCGCGAATTTGACAACAGTTGCAATGCGGCTTTCTCCGCTGAACACGGTCGATTATGCATTGCCTGAGATACAAATCGCATTTGTTGTGGTTTATTTAGATTAGATTAGTTATGTCTTCATTACAAAAGTGGTGTTTAGAGCAGCAAATTGAAAGTAGCAAATCGTTTGTTCTCATTACGAGTTTACTCGTTGTCCCGCAACCAACCATTTGTTGCGAGTGTTTTATTAAATTAGCAAAACTTTTTCTCAACGCGCGAGTGTTCTCGTTATCGTTGACTGTGCGACAACCCCCTTTTTCCCGGACACGACTCTCTTCTCTCGTCGCGGTGTTATTCTCGTCTCGACCGTTGGCCATGCAAGGGATGAATCAACAATCGACCAAAAAGCAGCCAATTAGTATAATCACCCGATAAATTCAAACTTAATTGGTCACTACACTTCCGTCCACCCATCCGTCTGTCTGTTGGTTCGTTCGGGAGGCATCGGAGGTTCCCATCAGCGTGCTCGCGCGCTCAGTTACATGCGTCTGTTCGTCCTTCTCGACACATCGTAGGCTTTATCAACAATTTCGTGCACAATGAACAGAGATGTAATTGTTGCGCAACCGCTCCTCCATACACACTCAGAAAGCGTATGTGGAGGTAACAGAGTTATCAGTTTCATAGACGTGTGATCTCTCCCAACGGAAACGAACGGTGTGACTACCGCACGATATAAAATCGCGGAATCGAATTCCACGCGAAGCTGACTGAACGTCTCGCCAGGATTCTTGGATCTCCCCACGACAGGCGTTGAACCGACGCGCGCGCGGTCGGTCGGTCGGTCGTAGGAGGATTCTTTCCGGTGACATATGCGCGCGAATTCGTCACGAGGCAGCCCTTCGAGAAACAGAGAGAGACGTAACGAGCAGCGCGCCTTCCACGAACCGAAACTTAAACGAGCTTATCGGCCGTTTCTCGAGGAGGAGAGACGCGTGAATAATTTGGCGCAGCCGGTACCAGCCTAGGAACGACGAGAGAAAGAGAGAGAGAGAGAGAGAGAGAGAGAGAGACCCGTGCGCGAATTCCCGAGCGGAGGAGCGGATGGAGGGGGTGATCGAGGGGATCCGCGCGATCCCCGACGTCCGAGAGAGGGTTCCGTCGCCGGGATTCCGAGCTAATTCACGGCAACACCACGTGCTAATCCGTCTTAAGTTAATACTGGAGGCGCAATAATCGCCCGGCACGCCTAGCACGACGAACCGATCAATCTGCATCCGGCAGCGGCCGCTTTTACACGTTGCGGGCCACGGTCGTCGCACCTCGCGACTTGCAGAACGACACTTCGTGACGCGCTTTACGTAACGGATCGCGCGAGCACTTTGATGGTTTTGAAAAAAAGAAAAGGAAAAACGGAAAGAAAAAGGAAGAATCGTGAATTTGCACTCTCGAACGAGCAGCTAGAAATGTGCGACATGTAACTATCAATTTTCTTTTTTCAAATGCACGGCGAGTCGTCACAGCCACGGAGAAATAGATCTCACATAGCGGCTCTCGATATATTCGCGATATATAATTGGATTTGATATCGCGGTATCTAATAAATCGTGGATTAGTCGCGAACAGTCGCGAGTTATTTTCATCTCTAATTTACGAGAGAACGAATGTTTCAATTGCTAATAATATCTACCATTAGCAGTAGCACACTTTTTATTAGTTTGTGATATTATCGAGGAATCTATATGACCCACTTGAAAATCCTCTCAAAATTAAGTTCGTTTTAATATTCGATATACCAGCGTAACGTCGATCAAATTAGAATCAAATTAAAAGATTAATTTATCCTATTTTTAAGATATAAATAAATTTTCTCTTTGTTTATTTACAACGTCAGATTTACTCAGAAATCCTGGAAAATGGATCTTTACGGTTATCCGTAAAGAAATTTCTCAAGATTTTTCCAGAAACAGCATAAACTCTAGTCAAAATGAAACATTACTCTTCTAAATTGATTCTGCATAAATTTTTCAATCAGAATCCATTGTTTTTTTTAGGAAGTCGGATTGGATTCTAATTAGATTCTAATTGGATCTCAATAGATTTTTTATGTGGGTTGTTAGAACTGCTATTACATAAGTACTCAGAAGTCAAAAATGGGTTCCCAATGGGAACCCTTGATGGTATAAAGATTGATCAGACCAGTAGTAATTAAGGTTAATCAGGTCAATAATTAACAGATTAATCAGACGAAATTCGAGACTTTCGTGGTACTTGCTGATGAGATTAAGAGTCATCACTCCTCTAACATTCCCTGTCACTCACCCTATATTTCTAACACTATCTAGACACGAAGATAAAACTTACCAATGGGGAGTAGAACGCGGAACTGTCCATGCCGATGCTGGGGTAAGGCCCCTGGTCGGTCGAGGGCGTCGGCGTGGGGTAAGAGGAGTAGGAGGTGGCGGTGGGCGCTAGCCTGGGGTACGCGCCAAGCGCTAATCTCGTCGCGTTGTCGTACTGGCAGCTGCACACCGTTTGCCCCGTCATGGGGTCAGTTATCATGGGCCTGCCGTTTTCGCAGCAACCGGGCCCGGTGGTGCCACCCACGGGGGTCGTGGCGCCACCTGTGCCCGCAGGGCCCACCCCCGTCGTCGTAGTTGCCGTCGACGAGGGCGAAAGTGCGCCTGGGCTCAGCGCACCCCCTGACGACATCGCCGGCGACGTCGCCGTGGTCGGCTGTCCGCCGCTCACCAGGAGCTGAAATCAAAAAAGTCGCGAGAATTAGAGACACGACGCGTTGCTGCTGTGAAATTTGTGCGTGTATAAAAGATTCGGAGAAATCTCGTCGTCTCCATCTTTCACGGAAGTCAACTTTCGGAACTGTTGGTTTCGCCGACATTGTGGTGCCTGAACGACACGAATAGCGGTCGCGTCGTCCTCCTCCGCGCGGATTTCTCATTTTCCATTTTTGTTTTCAGCGCAGATACATACGAATGACTGTCGCGCGGACGTGTATGCCACATACGGCGTATCATCGTATGATAAGAACATACATATGTACTACACCGTGGTACATGCGACGGGAAATGTTAACTATTTGTTTCTGCGTAGCCACCCGCGCTTTTATTTTTAGACGCGCTCGCATCGCGCTCGCCGAGCTAAAAATACGATATTTACAAAGTACAAAGTAGATCGCGGACGAGGTGAATCGCGTACGTTGGTAGTCACCGTGAAATTTCGCCGGGCGACGAAATTTCTCCACCCGCTTCCGTGCCTCTCTGCCGCAAAATTTTCTCGACCGCGAGCCCAAAATGGACGGCCGTTCTCCTATATCTTCCTGTAGCGAAAGACATCGCGAACAAACCGCACGTCTCGCGGTGGCTGTTCGTCGTTACAGGTATTCAGTTTTATCGGTGGCAATCTCGACGAATAACGCCGAGCGTTTATTTCCCCTCCCGCCCCTCCTCGCGATTAATAGCCGCGTAAAGGCCGCGTATAAACAGAAAGGCGTCTCTCTCTCTCTCTCTCTCTCTCTCTCTCTCTCTCTCTCTCTCTCTCTCTCTCTCTCTCTGTGTGTGTGTGCTAGCATGCGAAGGGTCGCGCGGTGTTGCCTCGCGCTAAATTAGCCCATTGTAAATGAGAACGGAATGAATCCCGGTAATTAATATAGCAAGGGCGCGGAGTTATTTCGAGAGGACGAGAGGCTCGAGAGCAGTCGAGCGCGCGCGCGTTATATCCGCGTTAATAAAGCCTCTTCTCTCCGACCCCTCCTGCATTCCGCTACACCTTCGGATGAGAGAAAGATCGAGAGAGGGCGAGAAAGCATAAAACACCGCTCGCTCGCTCGCGTATATGCCTTTCTATTCGTAGACCGTGTCGAAATCACCCACGAAAACGCCCACAGCGGTGGCGCGCGCGTGACGAATAGGATCGACGAGAACTTTATTCCCGCGAACGATTCTCCCCCGCGCTTTGTGTGCGTTCACCTTCTTTTTTATTCTCCCGCTCTTCGTCCTCCTCTTCTCTCGTGAATTATTAAAGACCCTGGCGCCCGCGCGCATCGCCGCTTATCAATTTCAACGTCGAGCAACGCGCGCGCGATCTTACAAAAATACAGCAGCTCGCGGCTCGCCGATGTCTCTCCCGGGAGCTCCCGCTGTTCGTTTCGCTCGACAAAACCGTCTTCCGGTCGTTAAGCGCTGTAGAAATGATTCACGTCGATCGCGGTTACTTCGAGTTGCCGATTTGCTGGAGGAACAGTTCGACGGTTCTTATACTTTAACAGTTTATTCTAGAATATCATCGCGAATCTGTGCCAATTGTCAAGGGGTGCTGGTCGTCTCGATATTGGGCCGTTGTCTTCGCGATCGAGTGCAGTCAGTCTTCGATTCAATTTTAAATTATTTCTAATTACACTTTTCAAGTATCTTTAATCTCGAATATTTAACTGCATTAAACGTTTCGGTTCTTCGTCCAGAAACTTATAGTAATAATTGTTCCCGGCGATTTTCTCTCTCTCTCTCTCTCGCTCTCTCTGGTCGTGAAGTCTCGCCGACTGAACGCCCCAATTCGTCGCGAATCGGCCGACATAATTACCGCCTTTGTGAGAGAAGATTCGAGACGGCTTCGACGGGATATCGCACTTCCGGCTCGCACCGTTTACCGCAACCACCACATCGATTTCCTCCGCACGCGTCAGTACGTTCTCGTGTATTTTCACAAGAAATATCTCTGGGGGTCTCGCTTCGCGCGGTTGCAAAAATAGAAGGGGGGAAAGGACGACGCGACGCGACGCATCGCCGAGCGGGATCCGCCGCTCCATAGGAACGAGGTAAACTCAACTTTCGTGAACAAAGACCCCGGTTCCTCGTGGTCGAGCCACATGTAGTGGTGCCAGTGCGCTGCTGGCGAACTTGAAGAAGAGACGCGCTACGTGCGCGCGCACGTGTGTCCTGATTCACGCATAACGAAACGCAACGCGTGTACGTATCAGTGTGTGCGTGCGTGTACATGTACGTGTATGTGCGCGTACAATCCCCCTCAATCCCCTTCCGTTCCATAGCCACTCTTTTTCTCCTCTCTCTCTCTCTCTCTCTCTCTCTCTCTCTCTCTCTCTCTTTCTCTGTCGCTCTCACGCCTCTAACGAAACGTTCCGGGCACCTCCAGCGTGTCTGGAGCCATTCACGCCCTGCTGGGTTTCCCACCGGAACCTTTTAAGACCCCACTTTCACCCCCGCAGCAGCCGCCGGCGCGAAAACCCTTCGGATCTCGTCGTCGTCGTCGCAGGAAGAGTCGCCGTGATATGGCCCTCTATCCTCTCGCCTCCGCCTCTCGTCGTGCTCTCCACCTTGTCACCGTTCCGCGACGCGCTCGTTGGCGACGAAGCAACCCCTCAAGGGGCCGAGAGGATTCTGTGCGAGTCCTGATACGGATAACGTCCGACTTTTCCGTGAGAGTCGCGCCGTATTTTTTCTTCCTTCTCTCCTTCTCTCGAGTGCTTGGTGACACGTGTACAAACATTAATTTACTTTGTGCTCTCAACCCCCCGACGAACTTCTGATCTGACGCGTGTCCGGCTAAGAAATTTCTCGGCTGTCTCTGACACTCGCGAATTTCGCGATGCCGTTAGTACCGCGTGTGCTGTGAATCCTCGCGAAAAAAGGACCAAAAGAAAGAGGAAAACATATATTTAGAACGAGAAAGCTCGATTATGCGATCTCATCGTCCGGAAAATGGTAGGCATTATCGGCACGATTTCTTCGTACGAAATGCATCGGCGCCGTCTCGCTTGGCCGCGATCTAACATTAATATCCACCCGGTGGAAAGTTATATCGACGTGTTTCTTCGAGCTCTTAAACGACCGGTAATAGCGAATAATCGTTGACGCGTTCAATTTTCCTCGGGGCCTCGCTAGAGCGGGAATGGCCTCGCTAGGTGAAATTGATCGTAAACGCGTTTGAAAACAGAGATAGGAAGAAAGAGAGAGAGAGGTGTCGATGCTGCACGTTGAACGCGAATTTTATTTTTCGCACCACACATATATTGCG